TCCTGGCATTTAAATGTCTTTTTGGATCCACCCCTATTGCCCTGGCCCTAAGACGCTCTTTCAACATAGAGGTTCTTACTTTTCTATCTGCAAAATAAGGGAAAGAAAGTAATATTAGTTACCTGATGACGTGTGCAATGACTGTATGTAGAGTGAAAATGGGCATTTGTAATCATTTTTGTGTCGAACTGAGGGCACCTTTTCATTTGTAGGAGGAGTTTTTTTGGGTGAGAAAGCAGAGATTTACTTTTACTAATGCTAAAAATATGAAATACTACATCAACTGCACCTAATACCCTCATAGAAATTACATGGCTGAAACTAAGCAGACATAATATGATAGAATAAATACACACAGACAGCCAAGGCAAACAGTTACCAATCAAAAGAATACTTTATGAAATATTCAGTCCATTTATGGCCTCTCAAGTGTGACTCTTCAAAGGACACCTATAAAATACCTTCAGTAGACAAACATGGTGACAAAAATTCCCCGCTCTACTAGATAATAGAAACTAAGAGCACAACAGAGACATGGATTTGTTGGCCCATTACATTATTCCTGTAGACCACCCATCTCAGAAACATATGGGCTGAACTTTCCTCTTTACTCTTTTCCAATAGGCTAATGTTCTGTCGCTACTGTCCTTGCTAGCAACTCTGGGATAAAGAATGGTGTTAAACTGCTTCAGAGAAAGGGATCTTTAAGTGATGAACAACACTAAAACAGTCAACGGCTCAGTGTCAGATGGAGAATGGTGACGAGTGCTGTACTGGGACCAGTATTCTTTAATATCTTCATCAGTGACATAGACACTGGGATCACATGCACCCTCACCAAGTTTGCAGGTGACACCAAGCTGAATGGTGCAGCTGACATGCTTGAGGGACAGGATGCCATGCAGAGGGACCTGAACACGCTTAAGGAATGGGCCTGTGTGAACCTCATTAGGATCAACAAGGACAAGTGCAGGGTCTTACACCTGGGTTGGGGCAGCCCCCAGTATCAATACTGGCTGGGGGATGAAGGGATAGAGAGCAGCCCTGCCAAGAAGGACTTGGAGGTCCTGGTGGATGAAAAGCTGGACAGGAGACAGCAATGTGTTCTCACAGCCCAAAAAGGCCAGCCATATCCTGCGCTGCATCCAAAGCAGTGTGCCCAGCTTGTCGACGGAGGTTATTGTGCCCCTCTACTGCATTCTGCTGAGACCCCACCTGGAGTCCTGTGTCCAGCTCTGGAGCCCTCAGCACAGGAAAGACATGGACCTGTTGGAGCAGGTCCAGAAGAGGGCCACAAAAATGATCAGAGGGATGGAACACCTCTCCTATGAGGACAGGCTAAGAGAGCTGGGATTGTTCAGCTTGGAGAAGAGAAGGCTCCGGGGAGACCTTCTTGCAGCATTCCAGTACTTAAAGGGGTCTCATAAGAAAGATGGGGACAGAGTTTTTAGCAGGGCCTGTAGCAACAGGACAAGGGGTAATGGTTTTAAACTAAAAAGGGTAGATTTAGACTCGATATAGGGGCAAAATTTTTCACATTGAGAGTGGTAAGACACTGGCACAGGTTGCCTGGAGAGCTAGTAGACGCTACATCCCTGGAAACATTCCAGGTCAGGTTGGATCGGGCTCTGAGCAACCTGATCTGGTTGAAGATGTCCCTGCTCATTGCAAGAGTTAGGACTAGATGATCTTAAAAGGCCCCTTCCAGCCCAAACTATTACATGATTCTATGATGATTCTATGAAAACCAGTAGTGTCCAGCCTATATATAACTGTGATTTTAGGCTTTTTCAGTCCTTGTGAAAGGTGTTGTAGACATAGCAAAGTTTCAAGAAACTAAGTTTTTAATCTTAATAATGATTTCAGTTGTTTCTTTTATGCTTATTCACACCCCTGTGCTATACCCTGACACTACTCATACATGGGTATGACAGGCCCATTGTCTGTTTGGCTGAGATGTCTCAATCAAAGGACTGACAGTCTGAAAAATGAACAAAATATACAAACCCAAACAATGTTTACAGTATTTTTGTTTGCTTGCTTGTCCAGCAATGTCTATAGTTTCTGCTGATGGTTCACAGCATAGAGAACTGTGCATATTGTGCCAAGATAACCATGGCAACAGTGCTTTGTATGGCAGGGACTGTGGAAAATCGTAAACCAATATTGCAATCAAGGGATTCTTCTGAAACCACAGCAGGAAGGGTAGCTACTTTTTTCAGCTAGTCTAATAACAAATGTCATCTCTCCTTGCTCTCCATGTTCATTAAGTATCTCTGTGTGGTTGGGTCAACTCATCAATCTCATGATATTGCTTGTTAGTCATTAATAGGTTATTGTAGGGAA